TCAAGGACATGTCCTTGTCGTTGCCGGTGAACTTGGGGGGATAAAGGCAAAGGAACCGGGGCACGGGGGCGAGAGGGACCAGCGGCGGAGGGTCGCTGGGCGAGGCCATCCAGGACAGACCTCATACCGTTCAGGACAGTGTGATTTGCTTGCATAGTTTCGCGGCACTGGACGCTGATGGACTCGATAGCGGACTGGATTGACATCAGTGGGGCATTGTTGTTGGTGAGGTTGTTGACCTGGGCTTGCATCGAATTTTGCATGGTCTCGACTTGGGCTTGTAGGGCAACCATGTTCGACTGGAGGTGTTGGAGAACTTGGACAGGGTTGGCCTGGGCATTGTTGGCTTGTTCGGCTAGGGCGTGCATTGTGTAGAGCTCTTGCTCGGTGGGATTGGAAGGGTTCATGGTGGATAAGGTGAAGCAGGATCAAGGGTAAGGTAAGTTGTAGAGTCTGCAACTGTCAAGATCTGGACTGGCAGGCAAGTGGAGAATGTAAGAGCAAGAGTGAGTACAGGGCAGGAAAGTATTTTATTGCAGACTGAGGTTTGATTATGGCAGCTAGTTATGTCTTTTATATGTGAATAAAACTTGGCTCGGGACCCCAGCTCGGTAGCTTATGTCCTATAAGCTACCGTACTCGGGACCGAAACATAATGGAATGGACAAGGGTGGACGCGGGCAATCGTCTACTTGAAACGGGCAAGCAACGTTAAACCAGTTATGCTTTCCGTGTGGGGTAATTCTGGAGACGCGACGTGATTTGGGCTCGCGTAGCAGACGCAAGGTAATCACAAGCCACTAGTGTCAATTGAGGTGAGCGCAAGTCTGCCCTCAACCTTAATTCGTGACATCCCCCTTCTGTCGTTGCCGATACACCTGCTGACCCTCTGTCCCTGGTTCCCCCTTCTACGATGGTGGCCTTGTCCGCTTTATGCGCTTCCCCTGTCCCTCCTCCTCAAGAGGGGGCTGGATTGAGTGATACAGTGGACCTGGACCCACCTACAGTGACAATAATATTTGAGTCAATGTTTTTTATCTCGGCATTATTTTTTTAATTTTTTCGCCTGTACGTGCCGTAGGATGCTATAATGTTTTTCAAAGATGGCGAAGTCATCTAGGAATATCATTTAGGCGTTTCAGGCGTAATGGATATCTCTATCTTCCTTTATCGCACATCTTGCGGTAGCGGTGTATTGACTCAATTCCTCCTGCACGTGCTAAAAAATATAGTATTCTCTAATTCTCGCTCAAATCTAATGATAACCCTTCACTTTCTATTCCTAGTACTTGGTGTGTCGTCCGCCGGCCGCTTTGACCGCTTGGATGCGTCGCGGCATACTGGATATGAGCGCCTGGATCAGCGACGGATCAATTTTATTCCAAACTTCTTGGACACGCTCCCAGAGCTTTGGGATACCGCCAGGAGGGTGTTCATACTTCGCAAGAAGCCTCTTTAGGTGCCCCCAGAGATGCTCGATAGGATTCAAGTCCGGAGAGTTGGGTGGCCACATGAGAACCACGTAATCATTGTCCTCAAAGAATTGGCGTGTAATTTTGGCGGTATGCTTGGGGTCGTTATCCTGCTGAAAAATCATCTCCTCTGCATCGATCCCGTAGTACTCTTGGGTCGAAGGAACACACTCTTCTAGGATCTCAACGTATAGTTTGCATCCAGCCCAGCCTCGATATGAGAGATGAAACCTGGCCCGTCCCAAGCCATGCAACCCCACATCATAAGGGACCCTCCTCCATGCTTGGGTGTCTCATCAATCAATCGCGCCTGCATGCCGACCTTGTTGTTTTTCCAGACCCACTTGGTCCCATCGGAGCCATAACGGTTGATTTTTGTCTCGTCCGTCCATAGAACTCGTTTCCAGTCCTCCACCGTCCAATACTCATATCGGGCCACAAATTCCATGCGCTTCTTGATCTGGTTAGGTGTCAACTTTGGCCTCTTAATCTTGTGTTGAGCGGTTAAATCTTCCTCTCGAAGGATCTGCCGCACCCTACAAACAGAGATATGGACGTCCAGTTCCTGCTCGAGGTACCGCTGCACCTGAACTGCATTTTCCAATTCCCCGTTCGTTACATTACGCACCATCAGTCGTCTTGTCGCCATAGAAACTCGGCCTGGTCGCCCTGCTCTTGGTCGCATCATGTTTGGGTCCATTTGCTTGGCTAGCCTGCTCACGGACGACTGAGATACGCCGAACTTATGGGCAATTGCCCTCGTGGACATCCCGTCGCGCAAACTAGAGCGAATCGAATCGACCTTGCTTTGGCTCAGCTTTCGCATCGTCTTGAATTGTTGCAGTTACCGGAGGAGGAGTCTAGGAAAAGAAAAGAGAGAGAAAGAAGTAGTTTCCGGGGAGAACCGGTAGTTTTGTTTTTTTTTCAGCAGGTGCAGAAAGAATTGAGTCAATGCAAAGCCACCAGCAAATACCGAATAAATATCCAACTGTGAACGGTGCCGGCTCGGGGTGCCAGGCACTTATCAGGCACTACCTAGAGAGTACCTATTGTGCTTTAGGAGACTGTAGAGGCCCTACAGCTCATATTACAGGTGAAGAATGAAGAAATTGAAAAACATTGACTCAAATATTATTGTCACTGTAGCTTCCTTTACAGTCGATGGCGGTGTTGGTCTCATACTTGGCACAAATGTGGAGGAAGATAATAAGCGCAATATCCCGCATTCGGAAGATAAATCAAAACAAAAACATTTGAGCAAACAACGTTCAAGTATTTTTCATCGCATAATTTAAACAAGGGTTCAAAACTGCTACAATGGTACGTCACACGCCAAGGATAATTACTTTACAACTGCTTGTGCAATTGATTCAAAAGTTTACAGTAATCTTTAATAATGCCGAGGCAATAATTGTGTGGAGTTTGAAAGAGATTGAATGCGAGAATCGTCTATGAGATGATGAGAAGTGAATTTTGTAAAAACATTGTAGCAGTTTTGAACCTTACTGTAGATTCGATAAATTCGTGTCGAGTCAGCATGGGGACCAATATCGATGTAAAAGGTAACAAAGGCACACTTCACATACGCTTGGTTGAACGTTGTATCTATATCCTCGGTAGTCATTGTAAGGGGGATGTAGTGGTTGAGGGGGGAGCAGAGGGAATGGCTTTGAGTGATAAGGATCAAGCAGTAGATGTGCAAGAATGAAGGGTGTTTGGCAGTGTATTTTTGGGCGAAGCAAAATTTGTGTTGCCCAATCAATGCCATTGATAACTGTTTTAAATTTTGTATCAAGCCATTGCAAAAGAGATATCGACCTATTAGCTATCGAGGTCTTAACATCAAAGAAAAGGAACTGCAGACCGATATGTTTATTTGGTAGATTTATTTATTATATGTGCAAGACAGTCTTCAAAATCCCCCCAATCAACCTCGGCTAACTCGTCAAAGTCATCGAACCATCACGATATCATCCATGGGCATCTCTTCAAGGCTGTCCAAGTCATCAAAGTCATCGATGGGGATGCTTATGGAGCCCTCCACTGGCTGCCTCACTTCAGGCTTGGGGTCCCATGCAGTGGCGAAATTATCTGTGAAGACGCTTTCGTTGATGTTACCCAGGCCGCCAAACTCATCTGCAGGGATGCTCACGACGGTCTCTACTGGCAGCCTCATCATGGGATCCCATGCAGTGGCAAAATTATCTGTGAAAATACTTTCATCGATGTTCTCCAGGCCAGAGTCATCCGCAAGAACACTCATATTATCCTCCACTTGCTGGTTCACCTCGAGAGGCAGTCCCCATTCCCAAGGTCTGCATGTATATTTGGATGTGGTAGGCAGATCCAAATAGACTCGACATTGGAGGAACGCAGCATTCCTTGGCTCACATCTCCCGCCCGAAGGATCAGAGTCGCAGCCAGAGGGAACGGGGCTGTGGATCTCAGGCATAGGGTGGAGTTCGACTATCTGATCTTTGCCTTTATCCACCTTCTGACGCTTGCGCATATCCGATTTCCTGGGCTTGATCTCCTCCACTTCCGGGATGGTGTCGATGTTCTTGCGCTTTCTTGTAAATGTGCGAAGTGGACGACCCTTCTCTTCGGAAATGCTGGCCCTCTGCTGCGCTCTTGGGGAAGTACGAACAGCAGGGCTCCTCTTCTTCTTCTTCTCCTCCGGGACGTCAGACTTCTTGCGCTTGATTCGAGATGCACGAACCGCCGGAAAGGAGATTGTTGGCTGGCCGATCTCAAGGATTGTACTCGATGGAGCACGGCTGGGTTCATAAGGTGCAAAAAAAATAAAAGGATGAATGAGATGAGCATACCTTAGACTAAGCACTCACTGTGGTTGTTGCGGTGTGAAATGAGCGAGCGACATGGTGACATGAAATACCTTTTCGGACATGCGTAGTACACTACCGAAAATAATGAGTAAATGATTTTCACTTTTGTAGCACATTTGTCAGTTGTTTCCGAACCCGGGTTATATAGCTGGTGATAGTTACAGGATAACATGCCAGTGCAATGAAAAGTAATCTACAGCATTTGGGAGATGCGGAGAAAATTATTGCGCGTTGTATACAGAATTAAGTTTAAACTGTTCAATTTACTCATTATTTCTCCCATGGACATGGTTTTTATTTTTTTTTATTCATCTTCGATATCAAGTTTACTGATGGCCTGCTTAGTACCTAGTGTGGCCTCCCTTGGCATTCTTAACAGCTTCGATCCTTCTGGGCATACTCTCAATCAAGCCTTGGCAGACAGAAGGGGGAATCTTGTTCCACTCCGCCTGAAATCTTTCCCATAGTTCGATCATGCCCTTCGGAGGCACCGGGTACTTGCCTAACTGGCGTTTTGCGTAGTCCCAGAGGTGCTCGATCGGATTTAGGTCAGGAGAGTTGGGCGGCCAGAACAACAAATTGTACTTGTGCTGCTTAAAGAAATTCATCGCAGTGCTGGAAGTGTGTTTCGAGTCGTTGTCCTGTTGAAAGATCATATCCTTAGGCTTGATCTTGTACCAGCGCTGGGTGAGTGGGAGACATTCCTCCAGGATTTCGACATAGAGACTGGCGTCCATGATCCCCTCGATCCTGGAAATGAATCCAGCACCATGCCAGGTCATGCACCCCCATAGCATGATGGAACCGCCGCCGAACTTGACCTCCTCCTGGACAAGCCGATCGTCCAGAGACTTGTCACCTCCCTTTTTCCAGACCCACAGGACTCCATCGGACCCAATGCGGTTGACCTTAGTCTCGTCGGACCAAACGACTCGTTTCCAATCATCGATTGTCCAGTGCTCGTACTTTCGCACGAAATCCATGCGCTCCGCCTTGTGCTTGGAGGTAAGTTTTGGCCTTCGCCGTTTGCGCACGGCGGTCAGACCCTCCTGTCTCAAGATCTGTCGAACTCTTGCTGCCGTCAAGTCCGTCGCAAAGTCTCTACTAAGCCGTTCCTGCACGTCTACAGCGGTTTGAAGTGTACCATTTGTGATTTCTCGAACCATCAAACGTTTGGTTGCCTCGGATACTTTCCCAGGGCGGCCGGATTTTCGCGGCGGAAGGGTCTCCTTGATGGTCTGCGCGAGCTGAGAGACCTTGGCCTGTGATACTCCACGTCTCTTGGCAATGGCTCGTGTGGTCATTTTCAACCGGAGGTCAGCAATGATCCCCTGTTCAATGTTATGATTGAGCTTCTTCATGTAGGATTTAAAGTCGTGGCGTAAGGTAGTCGATATTATGGTAGTAGGAGTGTGTGGGTAGCTGAAGTGGAGAAGAAAGAGCAAAACGAGGTTCAAAAGTGCATGGGGGTAATAATGAGTAAATGACGTCATAATATTTAATTTGAGATGTATATGGCTCGCTGTATTAGACACACCTGGTAGTCATTCCACGCGATGCTGAATGGGCCATGATATTTCTGGCGAACATGCACAGCACTAGTGGTCTTGGACATCGAGGCATATAATTTTATCGGCACTTATACCAAAACATTTACTCATTATTTTCGGTAGTGTAGGTCCGGCGGTCATGGTTTTTGTTACATTTTTCGTACATGGGCATTTTGTTGGGATTTCAGAGTAGGAGAGTGGGATAGTGGTAGGTGGCGGTGGTAGAGACAGACAGAGTGAGTGAGAATGGATGAGAAAGAAAGAGATAGATAAAAGATTTTTTTTAATTTTTTTTATTTCTGGCTCTAGTCTATGTGTGTGAGAGAGAGAGAGAGGTCTACGTGACATGGCAGAGCCTCCTCTATTGCAAACGGTCAAATCAGGTGGAAGTGGATCTAGGGTGGAAAGGAGGCTTTATTCGTATCAATGCTGCTGTCTAGTTCTACGTGTGGATGGGGTTTATATAAACTGGCTGGATAGATAGCAACAGTGTTCTAGAAAGTCGTAGAAAGATGGGCGAAGCGCTGATGACATCATAATGCACTTAACCGAGCATAAACCTGTTGCATCTATCCAGCTTTCGACTTGTATACGTACATGGGTAAAAGAGACTTTACGAGTAAATATACGCGAAAAGGTAAGGCAAGGATCTTAAAGTTAGTAAGAGTTACTGGCTAACTCTTGTGGCTTACATGAAAGATAACGCCACATTTTCAGATAAGATGCAAGGCAAGGCACTACAACTGCCCATCATCGTCGTCGTCATTATCGTCTGCGTGTGCATGAATCTTGTCCTTCTTCGATGGCGAGAACAGGATGAACGGGCTGGGCCTCTTTCTGGGAGGAGGAGTGCATTGCCGCGCAGGAGGATCGGCAGGGGTCAATGGGGGATCGTCAGGGGTCAATGAGGGATCGTCAGGGGTTAATGAGGGATCGTCGGGGGTTGACGTAGGATCATCCTCGTTGCCATCACCGAATGGGGTCGATGGCGACATTGCCAAGACATCAACAACGTCCACCGCATATCTCCTCAGATGCTCCTATTGCGAGATTAGTTTCAAATATGTCAGCAACCTTTCTTAAATATAATATGGCCAAGGTAATCTCAGATCAAGACACCTACCCTGAACGAGAGCAGAGTTAAGATGCTGTTTGACTGCAGGAATGTCTTTAGCTGGGAGACTTGTGAGGGCAATGATAGGCCCTTGGCAGTCGACCGCCCAGCACCAAGAATATCGTCATAGCGCCTTAGGGTGTAAAAGTCAAGGCCAAGACCTCTACCTTCGGCAATAATAGGATAGCTGTGTTGAAGATCAAGCCCGCGCGCCTCCAGTTCCAACAGGATCGCTGCGTTCAAACGGGCCGACTTCTTCTGCTGCTTTTCACACATCTGCCTGGTAGAGGTCGATGCCTTGAACTCAAAGATGGCAATCTCCGTTTTCCACCCGTTGTCCACCTGGATCCTGATGCTCAAATCAACTTTGCGCCCACATGATGTTGACGTCGTTGATCCAAACTCGTCTTCCACCAGTTGGCGGGCACTGGTACTCGCCTTGGACACAAGCTCTCCCCTACATGAAATAAAAAATAGAAGGTATATGAGCATATTCAGTTTACCTTTCTATGAAAACCATTGAAGACCGAGCTCGATAATTATACACAAATATACACACTTACGGGATGGCTCTTACTGTT